AAACCTACCAACAACAAGTACCAATGTGACTTTTTCCGAGTTACTTACATATACTTTCTAAAATTATTTAGACACTACTGACAAACAGTGAAGGAAAACATCCATCCAAACATCAGAAGAGGCCTTTGCTCAGCTGTGGGCATTTATAGATTGTTGATGATAATGAATAAGTTTACTGACGACAAATTCCATTACACAACATAACATCACGCCTTTTATCCCTGAAGAGGTATGCAGAGGTGTACATTACGCCACTGTACAATGTAACACCCACTTATCACTATTTATGTTATGAGTCCCATGTAGTAGGGGGTGAGCCTATTGCCATATACCGGGCACAATTCCAGACTCCGTGCTACTACTGAGAATTTATAAAAAACCAGTAGTACTTTGCCCATCGAACCCAAAACCTCATGCCCGGTATAGTCGCTCTTGCGACCACTTGGCCAACGAGGCAGTCATTCCATACTTTTATTTAAATTCTATTTTAAAGTAGCAGATATTTAAGTATATTACATCGTTGTTATATTATTATAGTAGAGGTACAAGTAGGTAGGTAAGTAGGATAATATATTATTGTATCTTTTGCTTGATTTACTGTCAGCATAGTTAATCGTCGTTTACCATTCTATTAGGTAATTACTAGGCCGTTATTTCTTTTTATGAAGGTTGGTTAGATTGCCTTGTCAAGGTCGAATGGTTGGACTGCTAAGCGTATGTTGTTTTTAAAATTATACACTATGTCTATGCAGAATATTTTCAGGGTTTTACCATGTTTGAATTGTACTTAACAATTCTATTGTTGCTTATTTTATGTAGGTATTATAAGGACATTGCTTTTTTTTAAACGTCGCCCCACACTAGTTTCTTCTCTTGTGTCGTGGTTGCGTTTACAAACATACAAGTTCACATACACATGACACACAGATCCGAAACAACAATTTGTGGATTACACAAAGATTATATTTGATGGGCCGACGCGACGTTTGACCACTATCTCGCCTGGTGGTAAGCGTTGATGCGGTTTACGGTGGAGCACGTCATCCCATAAGCAACCTATTCAATCTGGCTTTGAAGACACACTTTGGTTCTCTTTAGCTTAACATACCGCAGTTTAACCCTCTATAAAGCATAATATTTTATAACCGACTTCAAAAAAGAAGGGGGTACTGAGTTTGACATGTATGTAAGTATGCATGTTTGTGTATGGGCGATTATCTCGCAATTGACTTTACTGATCTGATGGGATTATCAGAAATGTGTTTGTTATATAGTTAGGAGACGTTAGGTTTTGGTATATTAATTAACCGACTTTTAAAAAAGAGGGCGTTGAAGCCGGTTGTTTGAAACGTGGTTTATAAAATAACTAGCTTTTACCCGCGTCTTCGCTCGCGTCACAAAAGGATAAAAAGCCTATGTGACATATACCAATACATACAGCGCCATCTATACCAATACTTTTGTTTTCCCTCGGCAATATCAATTTTTTTCGGAATAAAAAGTACCCTATTATTTAATCCAGACTACTAACTTTACGTCTGCAAAAATTCAATACAATCGGTTTAGTAGTTACGGCGTGAAGTCGGAACAAACAAACAAACTCACTTTCCGATTTATAATATTAGTAAGGATTATGTTATTAATTATGAACATACCTTCTAAGTTCTTTTTTTTATTTCCTAGCTTAGGACATAATATTGGTAATGCCACAGTCGTATGTGCTGGAACCTGTAAAACTACTTATTAAATGTCAATAAACATTATATATGTAACAGCTTGTTATAATAACATACGTCTTGACAAAGCACTCGTATATGTATATTAAACTTATTTTTATGGGATAATCTGGTAAACGAGCAGACGAATCACCTGATGGTAAGCAATCGGCACCGCCAAGGGCATCTTAAACACTAGAGGCGTTACAAGTGCGTGACCCGGCCTTTTGAGGATTAGGAATTTGAGGAATGTTGAGGATTTTGGGGTTGGGAAGATTGGGGAAGGGGGCGGGTGTAGTTAGGCCTCTGGTAGCCTCACTCACACGAGGAAATACAACGCAAGCATTGTTTCACATCGGTCTTTTGTAAGGCCGTCATTATATTTTTTTTTAAGGGGGGAAAAAAAATATAATGACGGCCCCCGCCTGGGTGAGGCTGGAGGGAGTGTCAGACTCTTACTGACTAAAAACCACCCCGTTCCTTCTCCTGCACGTCGAGCCGGAGCCCCGGTTACCCGTTAGGTTCTCCACGACTCCGAATCGGCATCGGCCCTATTGGGGCCCCATCTGTGGTGGTCTGATGGCTCTTTGAGGCGCGCGCGGAACGCGACGCGCCGTACGCTTGGGTCTGTTTCTGGTCGGACGGGGAGCCACCCATGCTCGCCGTCCGCAGGCCCGCGGCCGTCATTATACTAAGACTTATATTAAGACCAGCTACAGTCGCTCTGCTCGGCTCTTATTGATCGTGGCGTAATGTTTTATATCCTATACCCTTTTTCGATAGTTGAACTATCCAATATCACATCGGTTTTCTGTGAGGACGTGGTATCACTCCGATCGAACCGGCCCATTCATGCAGAAGCTTGGCTCTCCCACACTTATTATAACTTATTTATAACTTAAAAATACGGAACCTTTATAGCTACTAAGTACTTAAATGCCAACAAACATCAGATTCTGTAAACAACAATTTGTTATAATGAGATAAAAAGACGTGCTTGACAAAAGTACTTGTACATACGTATTAATTTTAATTATACCTACATAATATAGGTAAATAGTTATATCAATTTTAACAACGTATACCTACGACAATAATTTGTTACTAGATAGCAGTTATTTAATAACACCAAAACTATAAAAAATAACAGTTATTTTTTATCAAAAGCTAAAAGTACGTCGATTCCTTCGGAGTTTTTCTATGTTACCAAAAAACTTTAGTTCATTAAACCCAAAGCCTACGTAATATAGGATTACAGTTATGAATTATTACAAGCAACCTGACCTGACTTCGCCTGACCTTTATTCTGTCAGACTACCTTACCTTACTATCTTAATGATGGATAGAGATCCTTACTAGTCCTTACTAATATTATAAATTGGAAAGTGAGTTTGTTTGTTTGTTTGTTCCGCTTTCACGCCGTAACTACTAAACCGATTGCTTTGACTTTTTGCAGACGTAAAGTTAGAAGTCCGGATTAAATAATAGGGTACTTTTTATCCCGGAAAAATTGATATTTTCGAGGGAAAACAAAATTATTGGTATAGATGGCGCTGTGTGTATTGGTATATGTCACATAGGCTACTTTTTGTCCTTTTGTGACGCGAGCGAAGCCGCGGGTAAAAGCTAGTGGACTACAAAATTAATTCATTAATTGACAATAACAGAAAATTGTATATAATAACGGAAAAAATAGACGTCACTAATTAGCATAACCCAAGTTTGAACTGAAAATCCACCAAACATTTAAGAACTGTAATTTTTTTTTTGAGTAATTTTAGGTATTATTGCGTTCAGACAAACAGATAGACGTTGCAGATTTTGTAACATACAATGACTGGTGGAATGTGTTTTTGCTCAATAATTGCAGCAAAAAGTCGCTATAATATTTACGGGTTTTCGATTAGCTGATTTATCTAGAACTGTATAGATAATGAACAAGTTATAACCTGTCAGAACTATTTTTTTTTTATTACTTTGGTCTTTTGCTGCTTACAGTTATTTTAACGATATTGCTATCAACTTCTTGAGTGCCGGTATATGAGACACAATAGAAAATACATTTCGCTTCGCGTGGATTTACGTTCCGGCATACCCACGACTTAATAGATAGAACGTGTAAATAGATAAATAATTCAAAACTTCATAACAAAACAAAGAAATTATATTGCAATTTCAAACAATAAGATCTATCATGACGTAGGTAATTAAATATTCCCTAAGAAACCCTCCTTCATAAATATCTAGGTCAAAATTGACTTCTAAAATAATATAAAACCTAATACATTTCAGAATTTTAACTGATCAATCCCCAAGCGGTTACCGGTGGCCACTAACTCCATTATAGACCTTATTTCCTATGTTTAGAGACTACTTTTGTATGAATAAATTTTGGAGATTTATATCAAGCGATTTAGATAATTTAACCCTAACCCAGTCACCGCCATGATGTAATCTATTTAAAATAATTTTCGTACTAGTTAACAAGACCATCAATTATTTTGCTAATGATGCATACTAATATTTATTGTTATATTTTTCTTGTCAACTAAACCTGGAATATCTAAATAAATTCAAAATTAACGTAGCATTTTATTTGACGACAGTAAACAGACTATAAAATTTTAGTTGTTTCAAGCATAAAATGTATTTTTTACTGATTCACAGCAGCAGATTCAATATTGTGTTAATAGCGGGTTTTAAAATAACTTAAATTGTGGAATATTTCATACTAAATGTGGGACAGATTTCCTTGTTAATTATTGAGGCCACGTTATCTTCGTGATCTAGAGTACCTAAGGGATCAGATTTTTACTGCCAAAAAATATCTCAGCAAAAGAAATACTTAAAGGTTTAAAACTTGTTTAAAGGTTGCCTTCAACTGTCTTCTGTAGACAGAATCAAAACTAATTTAATTTATCAATCTTCATACATTCAAAGCTAGCCAATTGGCGGCCTTAAAAATGTCGTGGTGGCCCTGGGATTTAAGACTTCGAGTTCTTCTCGCTTCTCATGCATGAGGGTTAAAAACCTACCAACGGCAAGTACCAATGTCACTTTTTCCGAGATGTACTTTCTAAGATTATCTAGATACTACTGACAGACGGTAAAGGAAAACATCGTGGCAAAACGTGGGTTTATAATTTCTAATTATAAGTTCGTAATCGCCAACCGGCATTGAGCAAGCGTGGTGATTAATACTCAAACCTCCGTGTGAGAAGAGGCTTTGCTCAGCAGTAGGCATTTATAGGCTGTTGATGATGATGATGAAGTTCCAGTACTTACTTATAGCCAGCCAGTATGTTCAAAAGTGTAGATTTTCCTGCTCCAGATGGACCAAGAATGCAGGTGAGTTCCCCAGAACGGAATTCCCCGGAGACATTGTGAAGAATCCTGCGTTCTCCTGGAAAGAAGGAAAGTGATGTTATCAGACGTAATATAACATGGTTAATCACAACACTGGATGGTTAGGCGTCACTGGTAAATAATAAAACGTCATTTTTGCCCTCAGACTTAATATAACATTGTCAATCACAACACTGGATTTTATTATTTACCAGTGACACCTTTTTTTTAAGGGGGGATAATCATCGAATGACTGCTCCCGCCTGGGTGAGGCGGGAGGGAGTGTCAGACTCTTACTGACTAAAAACCACCCCGTTCCTTCTCCTGCACGTCGAGCCGGAGCCCCGGTTACACGTTAGGTTCTCCGCGACTCCGAATCGGCATCGGCCCTATTGAGCCCCATCTGTGTGTATCATCATACCATCATACCCCATCATACCAGTGACACGTAACCAGGCGTCACTGGTAAATAATAAAACATCATTTTTTCCCTTTTTTATTTTATTGTTGTATACTTTTTCTCATGTTTTGTATGATTTGTTGCTACTTTTTTAAGTTGCACTAGATTTTTAAGTTTTTTTGACTTGTAACATGGATTTGAAATACCTAGTTCTATTTTTTTTATATGCTGTTTTATTCATTTATTACAATACAACTGTTGGTTTAAGGAAAACAGTAAATAAATAGAAAAATAAATTATAAAAGTAATACAAATGCTAATTAAACGAGATAACACTGACAACCTAGAGAATCGCGTGCGCAAACCGAATTGTAGCAACTGCAGTGCAATTAGTCGCAGCAAAAAGTCGCAGAAAATAATATTTATTATCATAATACTTCATGCAAACGATGTTTTTTGCTCTGAATACTAATTAAATGTGTTATGGAAAATTAGTCATTGAAACAATTAAACAAATGTTTCCACTTATATGACAAGTTAATTGTTTACGATTAATTGTATATTTCTTATTGATGAGGTTATGCAAACTCATTTAAACTTTGTACTCATTTAGTATATAAAACTAACATTTTAGAAATATTAAAATCTATAGACCACTGCTACATTAAAACTAAACCTGAACTGAATTGAAAACCATGAACTGTTATAAAAAATTGGTTGCCTGTAAAGTCGGTATACGGGCGAAAGTTTTACGTGACAACGACTTTGAGTGGTAAAATAATTTTAATGTAAATATTCATTCGTATAGTAGGAAGAAGGATGAATTTTTTATGTCTGTCTCTCTCGCTCATAGGCGGGCTAACCATGCCCGAGTGGAAGGGACGCGTGCCTCTCACTCGCTGTCATTGTGAGCGCATAACGTGAGCGGAGCGTAACGCAGTTTCTTGAAGTGTCACCCGGCAAACCAATTTATAAGACGTTGTCACGTCAATAGCGATGCTTAAAAAATTTGTAGATATTTGTTGTTTATAAAGAACTTGTTATAGAATTAAGGTTGAAAATACATCGGATAGTTTTGCGATTTAAGACCTGCCTGCCGCCTAACCCAACACGGGAAAAGTCATTGGATGATTTTCCCTCGTTAAAAAATGAACGTGCACCTTGCTCGTTTTGCGGTTAGGGCGGTAAACAGCGCAGCTGGCTGGTGGAAGAACCCACGTGATGACAAATAGCTACTTGTCATCAATAAAGATATTAATCTCATTCTAATTGAGCCAAGTTTTTTATATTTGATGGGTCGACCGCGACGTTAGACCACTATCTCGGCTGGTGGTAAGCGATGATGCGGTCTACGATGGAGTACGTCGTTCCATAAGCAACCTATTCACTCGGGCCTTGAAGACACTCAGACCCTTCGGCTTATTTATAGGTTTATTGTCAAGCACCGGACGTAATCCTCATTTCTAAAGTAGGTATCGAAATAAGGGCAATTTGTGATGATGGTTAAATTACTGGTTCACAATAAGATCCAGATATATTTCGTTACTAGAGACCCGCCCCGGCTTCGCACGGGTGCAATATGCATGTATTATACATATAAACCTTCCTTAAGAATCACTCTATTAAATCATATATTATAAATATCACATCAAATTCCGTTGCGTAGTTTTAAAGATCTAAGCATACATAGGGACAGACAGACGGCGGATAGCGACTTTGTTTTACACAATTTAGTGATATGTAAATAAAAAAATTTTAGCTTGTCACCAAACCATAATGAAGTTGTTTAATCTTATAAACATTAAATGGTCGCATTTGTAATAATAATGTTAACCATAACCAATAATATTTATTTCGAAAATCAATTAGTTACAATGTTAGCCGTTTGTTGCTTACGTCAATGCTATTGAATATATATTATAAATCAAATTCGATTCTTGTTTCATACACGTGCTCAAAATTATTTATTTTTTGTTGGCTTGCGTTCAGAAAAATATAACATTATGATATCTCTTCTGCCTCGACTGCCTCGTTGGCCGAGTGGTCGCAAGTGCGACTGCCGGGCAAGGGGTCTCGGGTTCGATTCCCGGGTCGGGCAAAGTAATACAGGGTTTAAAAAAAAATCTCAGTTGTAGTACGGAGTCAGGAATTGTGCCCAGTATATGGCAATAGGCTCACCCCCTATTACACGGAACTCATAACATAAATAGTAAAAAGCGGGTGTTACATTGTACGGTGGTATAATGTGCTCCTCTGCCTACCCCTTCGGGAATAAAGGGCGTGATGTTATGTTATGTTAATAGTAACAGGCAAAATATTTAACGAAGTTTTGGTGGTACGACACCCATATTCGTTATCGTTACCAACTCCGCAACCAACGGCGTTGACGCCGGCGCGGGCGACTGTACCTAATGTCCATGGGCCGCCTGCGTGGCGCGGCGGCGACGGCCGGCGGGTGCGCGTCTACGCAACTGGCAACACAACATCGGTGTCATGGGTGTCATCGGTAGCACTCGGGGTTCTCGGTTACTCGTAGTGTAAACGCGTGTGATGTGGACAACAACGCTTTGCACATCGTTTTGCAGGACAACGGTAACGAGAATGGTTTTTAACACTTGAAACACAGTTTATTGTTCACTTTTAGCCACGAACTTATCGCACTTGGGTAATCGGTGACCCGCACTACTACACAACGCGCACTCCCTCGATGACGAACTTGGTGTCGTGGACGTAGGTACCTCGCTGTTGACGCGCGGCGTCAGCACGCCTCGTGCTCGACGTCGTCGCGTCGATATTCGGATTGCGATTATTATAATATTCAGTGCTTATGTTTAGCGGTAGGTAATAAGCTGAAGCTTGTGATAGGTGACTTAAAAAGTCTAGCACAATGGCAATACATTTGGCGACACTCGAAGATATTCTGTCTTGCTGTCGTTTTGATTCACGACAAACTCGCCATATTGAAGACGCCGCCGCGCGGCCGCGGGCGCGAACGGACCGCGTCTCTCGGTCCGCGCATGCACGTCGTGCAGGCATTCTCGTTGTAGGCCTCCGATGGCGGAACGCGGCATTGCGGACACGCACCAACCGGCGCGTGGGGCACTTGCGGTTTTTCCACGTGTTCGCATGGGGCTGCTTGTGTCAGTGTGGGTCTCGAAACGCAACCACTCATCTATTTTGACCAGACACGAGCTAAGTCCTCAATCTCGGCGATCTCCAAGGCCAGTCTTTTCGTGATGAGTTGTTCCCATACTCTGGCTAGTTCTTCTTCAGCTTTATATTCGGCGCGGCGACGACGACTTCGCGGCTGCGGCAGCCCAATTGCGTCTGGTCGATGTGGCAACATCTTCACTACCTACGCGACGCCGTAGGTAGGTACACACGTAATTTCCGTACCGGGACGCTCAACTTTAATATGAGCTTTACTTTGCGTTACGACACCAGAAACTTTAGCATTCATTGTGATCCGGCTCGAAGGACCAGTGTAACAATCTAGGGCTGGATGTTTCCACAACGAATTCAAAAACCGAGAAAATTGGCGGGAACGCGGAACGTTTTTAAATACGCTCACTCAACGTTTCAGCGGCGACTATTGGAGTTGGAGTTAATTGGAGTATTGGCGCGAGCGCGGAGCCCGCTCAAGCGAGGCGTGGGCGGGGCTTCGAATTTTGAATTTTAGCGCGAACGTGAATTCTCTACGTTACCACCATTATTCTTATCGAGCTCGCGCTAGGAAGTTTTCCTACAGAGTAGGTAGGTATGTTTCACGATAGTTATTATACGAATATGATAGGATCTTTAATAAGGCCTTTTTTTAGTTGAAGTCTATTCGTATAAATCTTATTATCTTCATAGTCCAAAAAACCAACGACATTAACAGATTATAAATTAAGCAATTTATGAATTATTTATGACCAAAATTCAAAATAAGTATAATATTAAACATGATCGGAAAATGAGTCATGAGTTCATTAATCAAAAATTTTGCATAATTATGTTTTTTTTTAAATAAATACAATAATTATGAACTTTGAGAACCTCAGAATATCTTCACGTTGTTCACGTGCATTACATGCGTCACCAAGAAATATTGTGTGAGGATAATACTACGGTGACATCAAACTAAATTATATGTTTCTACTAACTGGAATCTATTACCGAGATATTTATCTCACTCGACTCTGTTATTTATTGAAGTATGTAATTGTTAAGAAAAAATAAATTATCTGTATTTATTAGGTATATTGTGTTGGCCACAGAAATATTATCTGTGGTGTTGGCTAATTACTGTTACTGGTATTTGTTAAAATGGAATAATTACAGAATACAATAATCATTCATATTACACAATGAGTATAGTATAATATGATATACTTAATTATAATAGATAGACTAGTCGAATTCCTCGTCAAACAGTTACTTGAGTAAATCGAAAATATAATAATTAATGATAGATATACCTTACACGATTTTAATTTTTTGCAATATAGAATTTGAGATCTGTGACTTAGTGCCTTTTTCACACGGTCCGTTTGCCGGGTAACCGGCGCAGTGTATGGCCATGTACAATAGCTTTCGCACGTACCGGCGCAATTTGTATACACTGCGCCGCCGGATACCCGACGCCGACTTCCCGGCAACCGCAACGCGTGAAAAGG